AAGGCCCTGGATTGCACAAAGCTGTCCTGAGCAAAGCACAAAATGCTGGAGGTGTGCTTGTAACCACTGCCTTTTTTTTTCTTTCTAATTTATAATTCACTTAATATGACTGTAACCCCCTACCTTCTCACCTCCCAGTCCCACCCTCCCTTTCTCTTCTCCCTCTTCCCTCCTTCTCCCCTACTCCTCAGAAAAGGGGAGCCCCCTCATCCCACCCTAGCACATCAAGTCTTATCAGGACTAAGTGCATCCTCTTCCACTGAAGCCAGGCAAGGCAGCCCCATCAGAGGGAAGTGATCGAAAAGCAGGCAACACAGGACCTGTCAGAGACAGCCCTTGCCCTTCTTACTACGGGACCCATACGAACAAAAGTAGCGCAGTACCCACAGAAAAACAGGGTAGTGGGAAAGATTTAAGGACCCAGATTTAAATTCATAGCTGTAGACACCTGATTTTATGTATGTATTTATTTTTTTTCACCAAGTTACTAAATAACATTCATTGTAGAACAGACTGCCTTTTCAGAAAATTCTGCTAGGGAAATTGCATATTCATGCGTAGAAGAATGACATTAGATTCTCATGTCTAGTCCTATACATAATCATTTCCAAATGGATGAAAGGCCTTACTATGAGACCTGAAACTCTGATACTGTTAGAGGACAGTAGGAGAAGGCTTTCAGGATACAAGCACAGGCTGAGGCTTTCTCAAAAGGAGAAACTCAGGAACAAAGGCCAAGAACTGGTGGATGAGATCACATGAAATTGAAAGTACAGCAGATGCTGGAGGGTTGGGTCAGAGGTTTAGAGTACTCTAATTCCCAGGGTTCAATTCCAGCCTCCACACGGAGGCTCACAACCATCTGTTACTTCAGTTCCAGGTGGTCTGACGCTCTCCCTCGACCTCTGTGGGCACCAGGCATACATGTGTGCACATACATACATACAGCCAAAACGGTCGCACATACAAGATAAATAAATGTAAAAGCAATTAAAAGTACAGGAAAGGAAAAGATCAGCAGAGAGAAGCGGCAGCCCAGAGAATGGGAGAAAAATCTTTGTTGCTTATTCATCTGCCAGAGGATTAATATCCAGATCATATAAAGAACTTCAAGAAACTAAATTCCAAACAAGCCTAGTCAATACATGGACTAATAAAATAAGCAGTTCTTAGAAGGTGAAGTAAAAATGGCCCAGAAAAACAGGAAATGTTCAGCATTCTTAGCCTTCAGGAAAATGCAATAAAAACTACACTGAGAGTTCCATATCGCTCTGGTCAGAACGACTATTACAAAGAAAACAAATAGCAGCAAAGGCTGGTGCGAATCGGGGAAAGGGAACCTTTGTGCCCTGCTGGTGGGAGGTAAGCTGTCCGGTCACTACGAAAGAAAGATTAGTGTTCGTGAACAAACTAAAACTAGAATTATCATGTCGTTCCTCCTGGATAGAAACTTCAAGGGTTCTGAGTCAGCGCCCCACGCCCGTGCTCACTGCAGCGCAGCTCACTGTAGGCACGCTATGAGATCAGCCTACGCGTCTATCAGCATGGCCGAATAAGACAATATGGCATAAGCACACAATGGAGTCTTATCCAGCCACAAAAAAAAGTGAAACTGTCGTTTTCTGGAAAAACAGGTGCCATTAGAAATCATCACGTTAAGAAAATCAGCCAAACCGCAACTTCGAAAATCACATTTTCTTTAATTTAGAGATGCTACTTTTTTAGAAAACAGATACATAAAACCAGTTGTGTTTGTATCTGATGTGAACATAGAAGAAAGACTGGGGGAGGCAGGGGAATGAGAGAAAGGGCACAAGGTGAAGGGGAAGAGAGTGGAATGGCAAAACTTGGTAATATGCTCAAAAGAAATAGATTTTAGAGTCTAGCACACGTGCTGTAAACAGATGCAAATGAAGAACTAAGCATTGTTCATGTATGTACATTGGTTTTACATGTATGTATGTGGCTGCGGCAAGCACCTGCCAGGGCGTATATGTGGAGGCCAGAGAGCAACTCGTGGAGGCCCAGGCATCAAACTAAAGCAAGCATGGTGGCATGCACTTTCACCTGCTGAGCCAACCCTCGGGCCCTTGATGCCAATAAAGAAATTTTAGTTAAAAAGAAAGAAAAAATTTGAAGGAAAAGTAATAAAGGTGCCTCAGAGGGAATTTCTCCTCAGTTTTGTCACTTGAAGTATTTAGACTTTTTTTTTTTTTTACATACCAGAATATCTTCAAAGGAGATGTATATTCATTGTTCAGTTTAAAATTATTCTAAAATGTGTTTTTTGCATAGATTCAGTAACATTCATAATTGGATGTAAATGCACCAATTGTGTGTTCACATACATGGGTTTCCAAGTGTGGTCTCTCCCTTTCTGTTGGCTGTGTGTTCCTTCTCTCTGGTTCCTACTGCAGCACCCCACCCTTACCTTAGATAACCCACATAACAGCTGAGGGTGCAGCCTGCCAGACTTCCTTCCACCCTTCTGACAGACCCACGTACACACAGACATATGGGGACGTCAGTGTTCTCTTTTCTGCACAGCATTATCGTACAAAACATGTTTTCCTACATCTTGGTTTCCTCGCTTGATACTACTTCCCGGGAGCTGCTCCAAGTCATCTGTGCGCACTTAGATCATTATTTCAAAAGGCTAAAAAAATCCTGGTACAAAGACAAGGACATGCTTCTTAATAGACATCTAGAAACACGGCCCAAGATGTGGGGCTCAAAACCAGGGGAGCCGAGACTGTGGCTGGACGTGGAGGAGGGGCCTATAAGACTAAAGGTGGAAACAGTGAACGGAAAGGAAATGGTCTGGCTTAGCACCCAGGCACCTTCTGTGAACACTGCATCCACAAAGGGTCAGAAAACTATAGGGAAGAATGAGATTCTCGAAATGCTCACAATGGCTAGCTCTGATGGGTCGGACCTTAGGGAAAATTTGCTACCTTTTACCCACTTTTGGGTCTTGTTTAAATTTTGTAGTGATTATCTATTAGATAAACTGTTTTGATAAAACAGTATGTGTTTTATGTTTAAAAAAAATAGATAAAAGCCTCTCCGTGTCCTCCCACTAGAACCTTGAGGGCATTAATGATGAACAAGGATGCCAAGAAGCCTGGGGATGCAGCTTATGCAGTGATGGAATGCTTATGTAGCATGTGCATGGCCCTAGGTTCTATCCCCCACATAAAAACTATACCACACACACGCACACACACACACACACACACACACACACGTACGTACATACATTCATACATACTTTTATGCACACACACAGGGGAGTGGGGAAGGAGGGAGGGAGATTAAGTGAGGTTACCCTATACAGAGGGATAGCGCACTTCTGAGATGCCATAGGTTATGAAAGAAAAAGCCTGGTGCCAGGTGAGGGATGCTTTTCTTCACATCATTGGTCAGTGAGGTCCCATAGACTCCCAAACCAGACAGCTTAGTGCCATTGCTCTTCTTTATTCACCGAAACAAGATGGTGAGATGCTGCTACTGAAGACACTACTTCCTTGAGTCGTAGGAGATGAAGACGCCTGCCTGTTGCTTCTCTGTGTGCAGCGACCGCCTTCCCGAGGAAGGAGGAGCTTCACCGTGTGGAATGAGCAAGCACAGTTCCGGGAAGCAGTATGGCGGGAGGCAGGCCAGCAATGGCCCTGGGCGAGATGCCCACAAGCAGCCAGTGGCTGCTGGCACGCTAGCCTTGTGGGCTGCACATCCTTCTATCTTATCCCACAGCTGAGCCTGGGCTAACCCGCTAGGCTTCTTCGGATCCTTCTCAGCCTCTCCCCAGGTCTTCTAGTGCCTTAGTGGCGCTCACCCCTCCTAAAACTGTGACCCTTTACACTTCCTCATGTTACAGTGACCCCCAACCATAAAATTATTTTTGTTGCTATTTTATAAATGTATTTGAGCTATTATCATGACTTGTAGTATAAATATTTATGCTTTCTAGTGATCTTAGGTGACCTCTGTGAAAAGGCCATTCATCCTCTCCCAAGAGGGTCACAGCACACATGTTGAGAACCACTGTCCCAGGGCTTTTCCTGGCTTGCTGTAACATCACCAAGTGGTTTTAATCACACCTGTTGCCCAGGTAACTAAGGTTCTTACTCTCCCAGAAATGGCTGAGTCTCCACTCTCATGGCAGAAATGCCAAGCCATAGGCACCTGGAAAGCAGGTGTGCTATCGAATTACCTGGCTAGCCTGTGTTTATCCATAATCTACCTCCTCACTAACAACTCCTAAGCCGCTGGCATACAAACATCATTTCTGGGTCAGGAAAGAAGGAAGGAAGGAAGGAAGGAAGGAAGGAAGGAAGGAAGGAAGGAAGGAAGGAAGGAAAGAAGGAAGTTCAAACAAGGAAAGCCTCCAATATCTTCTACTATGTGCCTTTCTTGGTGTTCTTAGAAGGAAATCTCCCTGAACTGAAAAAGCAGGAGACACCCAAGGTCACCCGATCTATTCCCCCGGCTCTGGTAGTGCAAACATAGTTCAGATAGCTCTGGTACCGACAGATCACCAGAGACTGCCCATGCCCTGCCTTCCCCATTACCATGCCCTCAGGGGTTCAAATCCCATCCAAGTAGATTCCCAATTACCCCACTGATCTCAATCTGTGGATCTCAACCCCTTTGGAGGAGGCTGAACAGCCTTTTTACAGGGGTCACCTAAGACCCTTAGAAAACAGGTTTTTATACTACAATTCCCAATAATAGTGAAATTACAGCGACGGAGTAGCAACAAAAATAATTTCATGATTGGGGTCACCACAGCCTGAGAACGGTATTAAAGGGTCACAGCATTAGGAAGGCTGAGAGCCACTGCTCCAGCCCATAGCAGCTGCTTTTTCCTGTCCTGGATATAGGTTAATATCCATGAATAAGGTAACCCTGGCCTTGCAGGACACACCTTCCCACACTCGCCATCTCACACATGTGTGGTTGAAGTCCCCGCTGCACCCCAGACTCAGCTTTATACATACACGTTGCCATACTCCATCTCGGTGACGGTGATTGTCTTGACATGCCAGGCTAGCTCTCTCTTGGGGATGAAACGGTCCTCTCTGGCCAGGTGGCCCACACAGAGGGAGGCGATGTCTCCTAAGAAGATGCTGTCAAATTCAAATGTGTCTGTGGTCCCCCTACAGGAAGCAAAGGTGTGATCAATGAGCCGCCCGTGGCTATTGCTGCGGTGCACATTTGCTGAAAGCCTGCTGGATTCCAGGACGGTGTGGAAGGAAAGACCTGGTGTCAGCCAAGCGTTCCTTGAGGAATTCAGGCCAGTTTTAAATCAAGACAATGAAAAAGCATTGCCAGCAATCTGGTCCCCATACAGAGATGGCAATGCCACTAAGAAGGCTGATGCCACTCAGCTGGGGTTGGAGCAGCAGAGGGAGGAGGATAAGAAAGAACCTTCTAATAGGGATCTAAAGATTTTTGAACAAAATCTTACAATGGGAATAGTGGGGTAATGGGAATCCACTTGGATGGCATTTGAATCCATTGAGGATGTGGTAACGGGGAAGGCAGGGCACGGGCAGTCTCTGGCGATGTGTTGGTACTAGTCTATGCAGCTCAGACTCTGTCCTCATGGAAGGAGAATTTGAATAAAAGGTTGTGTGGTAAACAGAATGGAGCATCCTGCCGAGTTTGTGTGTTGAAACCTAGGCCCGTGTGGTGGAATTTGGAGCTGGGCCTTTGGAAGGTGATTGAGCAGCAGAGCAGCAGAGCCTTTGTGAATGGAATCTTACAAAACAAGCCCCAGGGAGCTCCTGCACCCTTCTGCTGCGTGAGGACGGGTGAGAGGGACCCCCATCTGTGAACCGGGAAGCAAGTATCAGCCAACACAAAATCTACCAGCAGCCTCAGGAACATGGGGAAAAGATTTCAGTTGTTTGTAAGCCACCGTCTTGCATGGCAGCTTGAATGGGCTAAGATAAAGGAGGCTGAGCAGGGGGAATGTGAGACCTTCCTTGCGGTTCTGGCCAGAACAGACACGAAAGTGGAAACAGCCACTGAAGCCTCCCAGGGTGGGGAGCTCTCAGCTGTCTGTAATCTCTGGCCCATTTGCAGGCCACTCAGTGAGGGTATCTGCCTTACCCTCCCCACCTCCATTCCATCCTGCACCTTTCTTCTTACTTCCGAAAGGCCCGCTGTCTGGAAGAATTTTCCACCAGAAATTCCTTGGATCTGTTCTTCCTGCCTTCCAGGATGAGCCAGACATTCTCTCTGGTTTCGCCTCCGTTGCCTGTTTCTATGACAATCTCGTAGGCTGCAGAGAGGAAGTGGGAGAGGGTCAGCAGCAGGAAGCAGCTGCCTGCAACCAGCCAGTCCCTCCCTCAGGGACTTTTCTCTGGCCTTAGGCCACAGTCTGGGTGTAGGAGGTGGGTCAGCCTTGCTGAGACCCTGGCACTCTAAGCAGAACTGGTGAATCAGGGACTGCAGTGGGCAACCTCCTTGCTGACAGATATGGGAGTGTAAGAGCCAAAGGGAAGGAAGCAGGAGGGAGGAATGAGTCCCCAAGAGATGTTAGGGTCTGGGTCTCACAGCTGGGTGAGACACTATACTAAAGTGCAACGTAGAAGCCACATGCTGGGAAGATGAGGGAAGAGAGGCAGGCCCCAGCTACAGAAAGCGCAACACAAAGACCCAGGAGGTAAGGGCCTCAAGGAGCCTTGAACTTACTTTAGCACACAGCCCGCCCCACTCCCACCAACCTCACAGCAGTCCCTGCCTTGCCCTCTTTCTGCCTCCAGCCTCTGACCCCCTAGCTCTTGCTTAGAGCTCTGCCATGTTCCCTCTCTCCACCTGACATGTCCGTCCACTCCCCCCCCTCCTTTGGGTTATGTCCTCACCACCTTAGGGATTCCTGTGCCAGTGCTGTAATTAAGATGGTAACTTGGTCCCCTGACACTTCCATTCTGCCTTGCCTCACTGTTGTTTCCTTTAGTTCTCATCATCTTCAAACATTCCATATCATTTCAATTATTCATTACTGTTTATTGTACCTCCTCCCCCTTCCTAAGGGAGAATAGGATATGTTCATTACTAAATTCCCAGCTGCCAAGAACGGTGCCCGGCACATGGTGGGCCTTTACTAAATGTATTTCTAAAATTTATTTATTTCTATTTTATGTTTATGTATGTCTATGTACAGTCTGTGTGTAGAGCCTGGGGATGGTAGAAGAGGGTGCTGGATCCTGTAATTACAGCCAGTTGTAAGCCATCATGTGGGTGCTGGAAATGAAAAAAACTGAGCCTTCTACAAGAGCAGCAAGTGGTCTTGACCACTGATCCATCTCTTTAAGGCCTCCCCCACCCCCACCACATGTCAGTCAATAGATACTGAATGAAAGAATGAATAGCTAAGTGCACCAATCACTAGGAGCCTCATGAGTAAGGAAGCCCAGAGCCTGCTGTTGTGGGATAGCTGTGATACAGTGAGCAGAGGATGGAGGAAGGTTCCCAGGCAGAGGGAAGAATGCCAGTGAGGACACAGAATGCACCTGTGACCCAGCCCAGGGATGGAGCCAGCATATGGGAGCACACATTAAATGTTTGTCTGAGATGGTCCTTATGTGGAGAGAGTAAACAGATGGGTAGTCTTGAGACAAGAAGGACAAACACAGGACAGCCATGGAAGAATGATGGGGGGACAGTGTGCTTCTGGTTGCCGTCCAAAATTTTACTGCTCCCCTTTGTCAGGACTCTTATATACTGCAGAGCTCCCTGTCACATGCTGGGATGGACCAAGAGTTTCTCCCCAGGGATATGCTCTTTCCCCTTCCTCAGAGGCCATTCAGCAGTAAGAATTCAGGTTGGTGATGCCAGCAGCCATCTTCCTGGGATTCAGGGAAAACTAGCACTAAAGTAAGTTAACATACTGGGGGAAATAGAGCTGAGAAGAAAGACTTACAGTACTGGCACCCCTGGGGACAGCAAAGTTGGAACCAGAGCCACCTCAGATTGCAAGTTCTAGGAGCCAACACATCTCCTGCATCCAGCAAAGATACGGTTTCCAGGTATGTGCTACTGAGAGTCCCAACCATTCCTAGAAGCTTCTGTTTGACCCTGTTGGGGCCATCAAAGGATGGAGGCTTCAAGAACATACATGTGAGGATGGATTCTACTGCCTGGTAGACCAGTGAGTATTCCATCTCCAGGGGCTGGCCAGCAGAGGGATATATTGGGGCTAGAAGCAGGGCAGATAAATGGACAAAGCAAACCAACCTAAAAGACTATCAGTCAGGAAAATGAAGGGCTGGAAAGAGAAAGGCACCCTTCAGCTGGAAGATGTTCCAGCAGGAGAGAAGTGTGCTCGTGTGTGCAAATGCGTGTAATCTCACTGTTTAAGCCAGATCCTGGAAAAAGTGAACCCAATGCCCAGAAGCTTGGACATTAGGACTACATATGAAGACTGCCAGCAGCATCTGGCTTTGGGGGTATGTTGGAGTGAGCTTCAGAGGTGAATGCTTGCAAGATGGCTGGAGCAACTTCTGGGAGGGCTTCAGGGAACTGGAGATGAAGCCTGGAAACAGGATGCTGCCGGATGTGGGCAACTGATAGATATGCTGTGCCAGCCAGGCCCAACATGGAGAAAGCATCCTAGAGCCATTTCGAAGTGGGCATTGTGTAACCTTTCTGAATTTTCGCTTTCCTTAATTTTTTATGCAGGAGAGTAAATGGCACCCCGCTTTCTCCTTATGATAGACATTGGATTTCCAGGGCTTAATGAGACTCTGGTGTAGAATGCCTTCCCACAGATGAGGCTTTGTTCAAGACTGAGTATCCCCAAAGACCCAAGGTGACCAGAAGGAAAACTCCAGGGTATGGGAATGTCCTCTGAAGTCAGGGTAAGGCATGGCACTCGTGACTGCTCACTGTGGATTTGTCTCATTATTAAATAAAAGCAGCTGAGAGCTGGGATGCAGCTCAGTGCGTGCCACCTCCAGCACCAGCCGCCACATGGGAACAAAGGTTTGTCTACCTGTCTGTCCCCATGTGAGCACCCAGCTGGCTCCAGGATGCTCCCTACACATTCTTGGCTCCCTGCTCACACTCTCCTACTTTCCACACCCACAGAACTCCCCAGCCTCAGCCCAAATCCTGAAAACATCAGCAACTATTTGGCTGTTTGATAATCTGAGAAGGAGTCTTGGCAATGGCGATGGGATTTATAGACTATTCCTCCCCTAACCGCCAATGAGCAGTCTCCATTGCTCATCTTGATTCTGTGTGAGGAGCTTAAGTTTCTCCCTCCAACTACATCTTAAGGCTCAGCAGCACAGCACAGCACAGCAGCCTTTCACTGAGCATCAATTCACTGAGACTCAAGGTCCAGAGTACTGCAGAGGGTGACAAACATGAGTGACACTGCCCTGAACCTGTGTAGGTCACAAGGCAAGGCACATCACTCACAGCTTCCAAAATAAACCGGGCACCCAGTAACTCCTTAGTACAACTGCAGAAGCAGGGAACACACTCTCTAACCGGGCTCTGGATCCCTGCCCTTACAGAAAATTCAGCAAATAGGTACTGTTTCCATCTGAGTGTGTTCCCAGGTTTGCAATGCTCACCGCCTTTCAAGACTTTAACCCTGGGCGGTTTGGCCTGGCAGAGATGGCAGGGGGTTTTCAAGCCAAGAAGCACACTTCTCTCTCACAGTGTAGAGTGGTCATGCAAAGAGCTTCGCAGTCAGGCCCAGGTAGCCTTGCCCCTGACAGAGCCACAAGACTCGTTCACCGAAACAAAACGCAGGTTAACATGCTGGGATTACACAGCTCTCTTTTTTTTGTGAGTCACGTGGGAGCCATAGCGTAGAGATGGCAGAGGCATAGACAGAGCTTGGGCTCCTAAATCGCACTATGGAAGACATCCCACCTCACTCCCACACTGAATTACAGACTGCAGAAGTGTAATTACAGAGAGAGAAGCCGTGTGGTGCTAAGATGCCAAGGTGTGTGTGTGGATGGGCTGCCTTAATAACCGTGGTTGAAAAATCCCTTCGTCAACCAGGCTCTACCTTGGCAGGCCCAGATGCTGGCCTGGGTACCAAAGAAATGTCTTTTGAAGCTTTGATGGCCATTCCACTTAGGAACTGATCACTCCTTCCTTCTCTGTTTCCTCCATGGGAGGGAGTAGGAGGCGAAGACCCCTGCTCTCCATGACTTCTGCTCCTAGAAACTCTGGGTTGGCAGTCATCATCACAGGCATCAGTTGGAACAGGCCACGACATAAAAAAAAATAAAATAGCCCTCAGCTGCCCTGCCTAGCTCAGCTTGGCCCTTAGCTCAGGGAAAGCCTGTCCCCAGTGGGTTTTCCTTCATTAGTACTCATGATTCAGGGCTATGAGTTTCTTAGCAGTTCTAGGAATTCCCTTTGTTGGTGTGTGTGTGTGTGTGTGTGTGTGTGTGTGTGTGTGTTATTGAGGAATCTCCTCTGCAGCTGCATGGAAACAGCTCTTTCCCACTTTGTTCCCTACCTCCTCTAGCCAGCCCTTCCTCAACTAGAAAAGCCAGCCCTGGTGTCAGTGGGCTGGGTCCACACAGACCCACTACATACTGGTCTCTTCCAGCTCGTCACGAATCTCATTGTTGGCACATGCGAAGTCGCGGACGGTTTGTCTGTCCCCCTCGCTCTTGGACAGCCAGCAGTCACACTGGAAGCGGAAGGTCTCATCACGGGAGTTGTCCTTCACATCAACATAGCTCAGATGCCAGCCAGGAAATAGCCCTGTCGAAGAGAGGACTTGGAATGGAAAGTGTCCCCTCCCTGTCAAGACCTCCCTTCTCCCATTCATAGCTGTGTGACCTTGGACAAGTTTCTTGTCCTCTCTGTGGTTTGCTGTCCTTGTTGATGAAGTGACCAGCTGGGCTGGTAGTTTTAAGGACTCCTCCAATCTGAGGAACACAGGGGCCTTTGTGAAATGCGTAGAGGACTTATGAATGAGGTTCCAGCTGTGGGCTCCAGGAAACTGCACTGCTCTCCTCCTGCAAAGTTCTCCCATTGAGAATCTATCCAACATGAACATTTCAGTAAACAAAAGGCTTTTGGCTTTCATCTGACTCATAGTGGAGGTCTTCAAGACCTTTCAGCAGCTCCTTAGCTGAAGGGTGGCTTCTGTTCCTGTGTCCACCCAGCTCCTGTCAATGATCCTTCGGCATCAGTTGAGGTATCGGTTCCACCAGGAGGCCTTTCCCGATGTCCTAGAGGCCATAGCAGGAGCTCACCCCCATGCTCGGTGGTACCCTGCATCCATCTTCAGTACACTTTCAGGTTTGTGTTGCTATTATTTACACGTGTCTCTTCCCTGTGACCAGGGTTGTGTGAGGTCAGACTATCTTGATAGAGTTTGTTTTCCTAGTGCTCAGCATATAACTGGCAGTTCACTAGGTGCTCAGTGAATGTTGAGTGAATAAATATGGCTTGTGTTGGGGGTTCTTGGCGGAACTGTTCAGCAATCTTGAAGGGCCCAGAAGCTGCCATTTCTTGGGATGTGTTCCTGCATTTGACACATCCTGGGCAGATCATGAGCACAGAGCTGCTCTGTTGTAACTGGCAGGGCTTTTCTCAGAAGTGTCCCCACCACAGCAGAGCTGGCAGTGTGGGCCAGTGTGGGTTTGCTGTGACAGCTGCATGTGACTTATTCTGCTTCCATCACTCTCATCAAACTCCTTGGGAGTGTGGAGCATTACGGGTCCCACAGAGAGAACAGTCTCAGTGCTCTCTCGTGCTAGGCATAATGTTTGCTACTCAAAACATATCCACGAGCCGCACAAAGGTGGGTCTCACCCCCTCACCCCTGCTTCTTAGGCCACCTATGGCTCTAGAGGCATTCTACTGTCACCAAAAAAGCCTTTCTGTCAGATCCAGACCCTGTCCAAAGCAACACCTCTAGAGATCCAGCCTCTGCACCCAAGAATACATAGAGGCATCACAGATTCCAGGATGCTGGTGTCAAGTTCATCGCTGGCATACATATGTTAGCATTATCTCAATTTAAAAAAATATTGTTTGAGGGTCTCATACATAAATTTAAAGTGTTTTTATCAAAGTTATCCCCATCCCTTCCATTACAATCTCTCTCATATTCCCTCTTCATATCCTGCACCACACTTCCCTCCCAATTTTGTGCATTCTTTTTTAAAACCCTCTGAGTGTGCTTAGTGCTGCTACTATGCAAATGGGGGTTGGTCCATGCACTGGAACGTGGGTGTCCCGATCAGGGGCTGAATCTGAAGAAAAGTCTCTCTCCCCTAGCACCCACCAACAGCTCTGGAGATGGTGGGATTCTGTAAGCCCCTTCCCATCCACACGGGGACCTTGGCTGGCTTGCTCTTGCACAGGTCTTATGCATGGAGTCACAGCCACTGTGCGTTCATGTGTGCAACACCCTGTCATATACATAAGATACCACTACATGCAAGCCTTCTGCTACATCCTTCTACTACCTCCGGCTCTTACAATCTTCCTTCCCCACCTTCTATGACAATCCCTGAGCCCTGGAGGTAGGGGCATGGCCTAGCAGCCGCACTCTGCATGTTCTCTGCACTGTGGCTGGATGTTAGTCTCTGAATTAATCAACATGTGCTATAAAAAGATGTTTCTCTGATGAAGGTTGAGAGATCTATTGGTATAAAGATAATTATTTCAGGGGCAGTTTAATATTGTTTCCATTAGGCTAAATTCTCTCCTAGGAACTATAGCCTGGCCAGCCATGGGTTCTTAGCCCAGTATCACAGTTCTATCTTGTGGAGTAGGTTTCAAGCCCCATCATAAAGCTGTTGGTTATCCTCAAAACACTGTGTCACTATTATAGCAATAGGCATACCATTCCAGGCAAGTCATTATTGTATCGCTCAGTGCTCATAGCTGGGTAAGACTGTTGTTGACTTTTTTCTCCCAAAAGAGCACCTTCTGGGTGCTTTGAAAACTAGCCATTAAGGAGGAAGGCTCCAGGTTAGTACCAGCTTGATTTCTCTGAGCCGCATGTCACTCAAAATGTCTTCAAAGTAGGGTCTTAGCATCAAATTTGCAGCATTATTTTGTGGATTCATGGGACCTCCCATTGACCAACAATTTGAATGGAAGTAACCCATACCTGGTCCTTTTCTTTGTACTTCATAGACTATGATATCTGGAGAGGCATTACTCCCCTATACAAGGTAACTCCATTTAGACTCTCTTTATATGTTATATATATATTTTAGAAAGCTTCTACAACTGTAGGTTTCCATATGGCTTTTTCAAAGGTCTTTGGTGTTGGTTATCTCTCACTGTATTTATTGGGTTTTGTGAAGCCAGATCTTTGCTGAAGAAGAAAACGGTGAGCGATAACAGAAGTGAGAGTGCAAAACACTTCTGTTGTGTTATACAGCAGTGAGGTGAGTTAGTTTATTCATGAAGTTGCTTAGTACTTGATATGGGTTTTTTTTCAGTTTTCTAAATTAGGGCCAGTCCCATCTGTAAGTTTACAGGTTGGCTGGATCAGAGATGGTCTCTGGTATACCATGAAACTGCTCACAGAAGTTAGCAAGCCTCCACGCATGCAGAACGGAAATGATGAGATGGTCAGAGCTTTTTTCTCAAGGCTTTAATCTTAAAACACAGACAGGAAGTAGCACACGGAGAAGAAACTGCACATGGTTGATTGTATTGATAAAAAACCCAAATGAAGAGATACTGGGCTTTCCTCGTCCTACACTCTGCCTTGAGCAGTGTGTGTGGGTTCTCTCACCCCATAGCCAATTCCCTTTTCCAGCTGGAACGCATCATTGCAGCTCTTTCCACTAAACAACAGGCTAACCTCAACCCCCTTCACATGAAAAGCCTTGCATTCTTGATGGTTTTCCTGCCCTGCTTTGGAAATACAGAGTGTGACCGACAGAGCCCAACTTAACAGTTTGTGCTACTAAAATCTAATCCAACCTGCAAGTGGGAACAGGAAGCTCTGTGTGGTCTGACGTCACCCAGATTTGATAGCAAAGACTACAGAATGGGAGACAGACTCATAGGTACAGCATGCTTAACTGACAGCCAGCCTGGTGGGTCAATAGGGAATCACCTGAACCTAGTTGTTCAGAAACTCACTTCTTGCAAAGTGCCTCTTTTGATGTCTCCATGCATTTTCACACAGAGAGCAAAGACCGCACACAGTTCACTGCCACAGAATGTAGGTGTGTCTCATTGCTGATCAGAGCTTCCCAGATCACAAACTGCTCACCTTATCTTTTCTGCTAGAAAGCTACCAAACTCTCCAGACTTTTGTCCTGTGTGTCAGGCTCTTAGAAACACCTGTATCATCAGGCACCATAGTGATCTTTTAAAGTCACAAATCATTTTGCCAAAATAAACCCTCAGTGGCTTATCAGTCCAAGAAACACAAACAAACAACAACAAAAAACAGGCTGTTCATGGAGAACTGTATGGAGCAACACACTGAACTCCACATCTCCATGACTCCTCACAACCTCACTAGGTCACACCTTTGTCGCTCTTCTTCTGAAACCTTGATTAGCAGAACCTCGCTTATCCACCATCTGAAGTGATGATCCCAGGCTCTAGGTACTGATGCTTCCTCATTGCTAACATCCCTGGGAGAGTGCTTTGTTTGCGCTTTCTCATTCCTCAATACTTGCTTTCAGTCTTTATGTACTCACCACTTGATCTGAAATCACCTTGCTTTCACATCATTGTATATTGTTTTTGCCTGTCTCTGTCAATGAGATCAGAACCCTCTGAGATCAAGAGGCTGGCCTCATCTAGGTATTTTATCTCATAAAGCTTATTGCATGTGTGAGTTCATGCAAAGCCTGAAGATGAAAGAACAGGAAATCAGCAGTGGTGGTAGTTTTAGGACAAGAATTTATTGCCTTACCTAGAAGGAACGGTCTGCCCTGGTACTATTGGTTATTATATCCCAAATGTCCTAAACTCACTTTCAGGAAAAGGCCTAGAAACCCTGAACTGCTGTGGGGTCCCAATACCCCAGATAGGAGATGACAGGCTGAATGAGAGTGAGGCTGGTAGCAGTTTGGACTTCCAAATGCTTCTTACTGCCCACTAGCCTGATGGCCTTCTGCATCTGGTGGCATGAAGGGCTCTGTTCTCCCTTTAGACCATTTCAATCAGCCCTTGTGAGACAGACTCATTAGGTATCCGTTTGGCGTCCCCTTTCTCATTAGGACTTCAAGCTATTCCCCTATGCTCAGCACCTGCATGCTCTCTGCACAGTACGGCTCTCTCTGCCTTGGAGCCTCTCTGCTGTTCCTGTGTCTACACTGTTCCTTCTGAACTGTATTAGTTATTTTGACCATCACCATGACCCAAATACCTGACTGGAACAACTGAAGGAAGAGTTAATTTGGCCTCACAGTTTCAGGGGACTCAGTTCTGCCGGAAGGGAAGGCATGGCGGGATTTACACAGCAGGAAAGTGTAGCAAAGACCCTCACATGATAACAGACTCAGAAAAAAAATGACAGCACCCATTATTTCCTTCAGCCAGGTTCCCGCTTCCTAAAGGCTCCACAGCCTTCAAAATGGTGCGGCTAATGGGAGACTATTTAAAATTTAGCCCCTGGGGAACATTCCAGATTGAAACCAAAACATGTCTGTTCTCCTGGCTATCCCCTCTGATGTCCTGAGAAATCTCTGCTGCTGAGGTTATAACTATGCCTTAACTCTTTTAAGACTATTTTTATATTTGAGTCTGACTTCTCCAACATCAGGGAG